TTATAACTAAAGTTTTGTCAAACATACAAGTCATGTAATTTGTCAGTAACTAATTCTTTTATATTTTCAGTTGATTTTCTTTTCTTGTAAATTTAACGTTGTAAATTAATTTTTCTTATTATTGTTGTTTTTTACTTTTTTAAAGTTTTCTTTTGCTGTTGTTACACTTTGTTACTTTTGTTGTTTTTCTAAATTTAAATTTTTGTTCATTACACGTTGAGTAACACCCTTAAGCAGTCTTATGTCTCATTAACCTAACACCTCTTCACTAAGCTAAGCGAGTGTAACATTTTAGGAAACTTAAACTTAAAGTGAGGCATGGGACTCGCAGAGTATAAAGATGAAGATGAGTATCGAAACCCACCATTCATGTCAATGTTATCCATGGTGGATAGGCAGAAGAAATTTTGTAAATCATCTAAACACTCTGATCATGCATATCAACCAGAAATTGTCAACGGGCCGGAAAGAATTATGTTAGAGTGCACCATTGACGATAAGCTTAACTCTTTTGAGTTAGATACCGGTGCTGCGGTGAGTACTATACCCTTACATCTGTTTAAAAGATTATTTCCAAAAATGCTTCTTAATAGAACAAGAATACCGGTAAGAACATATACTGGAGAAATTATTCACCCGGTAGGGTTTGCAACTGTTAAAATTTGTTATAAAGATCAAATATCTGTTGGCAACCTATATGTTATTCGGGGAAATGTATGCAGTATTTTTGGAAGGGAATGGTTAAATTTATTCAACATTGAGCTTAAGAAGGAGAATGATCACTCAAATAAACAAAATGGATCCGCGGTGATGGAATGCAAGTCATTGACAGGAGGCTGTCACCACAAGAGGAAAGGCTCCAAACACTCTGTGCTCGACCTCGACCAGAGTGCAAAAGAGGCAGAGGCTCGATTGACCGTCAAGAAAAATGCGTGGTCTAAGGACGGAGAAATCGTAACGAGGAAGCTAGAAAGACAAACTCCTGAGGGGGTAGGAACTGGACCTCCTAGAAACAACTCGGTCATCACTTCTAGATCTATGCTGTCCTCCAAAAACAGCCACCACTTGTCCCATCACAGTTCTAAAGACTCTCTAGAGGCAGTCAAACGCCTACAAGATTTCAGAATGGAGCTAAGGGTATGTGAGGAGAAGTTCCGCAAGGCTATGGCGACCATGGTGCAGATGTCCAAAGAGAAGGCTGCAATGGTGGATCTGTTCAAACACAGTATGAGTTGGAGCAACAACATTTTCAGTTGTTGATGGAACAAAAGGAACCCTACCAACAGTTTGAACAAACAAAACGGTTTAAGAGAAAACTGCAGCAAGATTTGGAAGTATCAAGAACTCATTTGGAGAAGTTGCTGCAATTGATCCAAGAGGCGGGTATAGTGGTGGCAGATAGTGAAGAGGATCATGACGAGGGAGATGTCGAAACACTGAGGGCAAAACCTACGAGGAGAGCTCTAGTTGCATCAGAAGTAGCGGAAGTCCTGCAACATGCATCTGGATCTCTAGACATTCGGTTGAAAGGTAATGATTATAATTTCAAACTCCAGAAGGCTGAACAAGATGTCAATACTTTTAAAATCAACGTTGCAAGATTGGAGACTCAAGTAGTTCGGTATAAGTGTATTGCGGAAACTTTAGACAAAATAGAAGATGAGTTAATATTAGAAAATAGAAGATTGCAAAGAACGCTGAGAGAAGCTCAATCTCGTGTAGAAGTGCTGGAGACATCCATCTACAGAGAACGCTAGACAAACTAAAGAAATTCAAAGTATTTCACAATTAATTTTATGGGGAAGAGTGTACTGTCTGTAAACTGATCATGTTGATATTATTGTTATTAGCTGGGTTATTTGTTTGTTTTTGTTTGTGTGTTTTGATTGACTTGAACGGGAATAAAATTATGTTCTAATGTGTTAGTTTTATTTAATGATTTAAAAATAGTACAGAAATCCATCCCAGTAAATGGAAATTTGCTTAGTCTGCAGGTTTGCTGCGGCAAGGGTATTATCAATTTTAGCTGGGACACAGTCTCAGTGGGGTGGATACAATTTCAAACTGGACCAAAAGTAGTATTTAAAATGTTTTCGGAAGAGAATATCATTAAAATAATATCTTGAGAGCAACTAAGTTAGCTGGGGACGGGCTGGAATAATTTGTGTGCGTTTCTTTCCTTATTTATTTTTTAAGCTTATCCATCGATATGTACTGCGCTGCTCATGTTATTTGGTAAAAGTATGGTATTGTAAGTATTAGGGATGGACGGGTCCCGAAATTTCGGGAATTTTTCGGGAAAAAAATATTCCCGATTATCGGGACGGGATTACATTAAACTCGGGAATTTTTCGGGACGGGATTTGGTCCGATCGTCGGCGATTTTTCCGCTTCGCGAGTGCCGATAACGCCGTTATTGCGAGCGATAGGTCCGCGAACGCAGGACCCGAAGTCATTTCGACGATTACGCCGTGACCGCGGAGTCATAACGATGATCGCGCCGTGGCCGCGATTATTGGACCGACGATCGCACCGTGACCGCGAGTCATAACGATGATCGGGCTGTGACCGCGGAGTCATACCGACAGTCACGCCGTGACCGCGGAGTGATAACGACGATCGCGCTGTGACCACGAGTCATACCGACTATCACGTTGTGACCGCGAGTCATACCGACGATCGCGCCGTGACCGCGAGTCATACCCACGATTGCGCCGTGACCGCGAGTCATGTCGACGATCGCGCCGTGACCGTGGGGTCATACCGACGATAACCCCGTGACCGCGAGTCATGACGACGATCGTGCCGTGACCGCGGGTCATGACGACGAGCGCCCCGTGACCGCGAGTCATGCTGACGATCGCGCCGTGACTGTGAGTCATATCGACGATCGCGCCGTGACCGCGAGTCATGACGACAATCGCGCCGTGACCGTGGAGTCATACCGACGATAAGCCCGTGACCGCGGAGTCATACCGACGATCGCGCCGTGACCGCGGAGTCATACCGACGATCGCGCCGTGACCGCGAGTCATGACGACGATCGTGCCGTGACCGTGGAGTCATACCGACGATAACCCCGTGACCGCGGAGTCATACCGAAGATCGCGCCGTGACCGCGAGTCATGACGACGATCGCGCCGTGACCGTGAGTCATACAGACGATCACCCCGTGACCGCGGAGTCATACCGACGATCTCGCCGTGACCGCGAGTCATGACGACGATCGCGCCGTGACCGTGAGTCATATAGACGATCACCCCGTGAACCGCGAGTCACAAGTTTCTATAGGTACCTGTAAATTGTTACCCATTTTTTGGTTTTTATAGATCATTGCCACAAATGGTAAAAATTGATTTCGTATGTCTTTTTTGGTAACTGCAATACAGTACTTTCTTTTTATGCACAGAAAAAAATCCCGTCCCGTCCCGTCCCGAAAATCGGGAAGGAAATAAAAATCCCGTCCCGTCCCGTCCCGAACTAAAAATTCAATCCCGTCCATCCCTAGTAAGTATGGTATTTTGTATAAAGCCATAGTTTGAAAAAAATCTTCTGATTTTAATTTCTCAAAATGTTGCATTACGTGATATCCGCTCGCATGAGAGGGTTTTTGCTGACTCTAGGACTTCGGAAAACAATTTATAATCTTGTTTAAGTAGATTTTCTTTGATAATTTGATTAGTTAAACCCATAATGAAAGCTTTTGTTAATGATTGTTGATAAAATTGGTTAGGAAAATTACAACTATTGATCATACATCTTAGATTGTTACCACATTCTGTTAATGAATCACAATTTTGTTTGTAAGAAAAAATTCAACCCTTTCAGCAACAGCAATAGTCTTAACTTTATAGTTGAAGATACTGTTTCAAAGAATGCTTCAACGGAAAATTCGTTGATGGATTTCGACTTGCATAAGAGTTTCTGATAGTGAAAGACTAGTCCCAAATTTAGTGTGCCAAACCTCAATGGACATATTTTCCAGGTCGAACTGTTCACATGAGAACCTCGGAAAAACAGATCCTACTCCCGCTCTTCTTCCCAATGACTTTGGTGTCTTCTCTGCATTTTGTAGGTTATCCTCGTCGCCATTGATGTAACTTGTACCGAGATTAAATCAAACAAATTAAATAACAAATTTTTATTATTGCAAAAAGAACACAACAAAATAACTAAAAACAAAACATTACAAAAGTAAAAATTTTCATATGGCTATTAGACCATATGGCAACAACATTGTGCACAGAATAATCACAAAGCATTCAGTAAAGATTTCTTCCTCCATTTGAATAAATTTTAAATGGCATTGTTTCTTACCAATACTTCTGAAAATCCATCACATTATCACATGTAATTTTTTAGGAATCACACCTCATAAAAGCATGTCCTCACTTTCTCCTCCCATAAATAAACCTCTTTTGTACTTAAACCTTTAATTTATTTATCTCTTTTATTTAGCACACACAAACCTTAACACGTTCGCTGCGGCACGTCAAATAGCGGGCGTATCCCCAGTGCGGCGCAGCCCTCAGCGTCGAGTAAACCCGATTGCCGCGTGTGATTGGCCTTTTCAATTTTGGTCTGACGAATAGCAAATAACGTGAGGGGATGTCCTGCTTTACAACGAGAGTCGATGTAGTTCGCTAAACACCCACAGATAGCAGCACTGCTTGGAACGTAGCCGGTCCCATTGGAATTGTATTGCCAAATGGAGGGAAAAAGACGGGAAAAAAAGAAGACTTGAGATTGCCAGACGGGGATTTTACGGGGAAATTTACTACCAACCTACACCACAACAAAATGCAAGTCACATACTACACGCTAACATCGTATAGGTCCGCTTTCGGCCGACGCTGGAGCAAAAACGAAGATATACAAAAGGCATTACCGAGCGTTCCCGATGGGGTACGGACGCACCGTACGGGGGCCAAGCACCGTACCCGATCGGGAACGGCCGCACTCTACGTGTTAAGATTGTTGTCCAGTACTATCTACCTTACCTTGACTATCATATCCTTGTCCAGTCCAGGCAGCTGCAGCATATGTTCAATGACAACATTGTTCAAGGAGGGACTGTCCCTGTCTTCCCTCAGAGGCTCCTCTGTGTGTTCTACCTGTGACAAGCAATGAATACAAACCCTTTATGAAGCGAAATGCTTATGGAGAGTAGTCAGACTGGAATTTTACTGCCGAAACGAGCTTTGCGCGGCCGACGCTAAGATGCCTCGCACCGTGTCCGCGCTACTCGACAAATGCCAAAGTGATGATAGTAGTGAATGATGAGTACTCTTCCAGAACTCTCCAAAGCGGGCTTCCTTACGATGATTTTGTAAAAAGGATCAAACTTAACATATCTAATTTGATGGAGAAAGCTGATGATTCGGAAAAATCAAATAATGTTAGAATTGTACCCTGCCGACGTTCCGTTGCTTGTCTATTGTCGTCCGTCGCACATGATAGTGCTGTTTCTGTGATGTGAGCCGTTCGAAAACCAGACTGAAAGCTGCAAAGTATGTTGTTGTCAGTCAGAAATTCCGTCATTTGGCAGCGCACGATTCTTTCAAGGCCTTTTGATAATGCAATCAGCCTGAAATCCTGGCAAGATGCCGGGGCTGGGATCTTATTTAATGGATGAATAAGGGTAGACTTCCAAGAAATAGGGAAAATGCTTTGCCTTAGAGATTTGTTGAAAATGCATGTGACAGTTGAGAGTATAGCAAAGAGAATGTCTTTAATAAAACTAATTGGAATGCCATCTGATCCGACTGCATTGCTACAAATCCGACGAATTGCGTTAAGAACATCTGACTGCACTACAGATCTGAAAGTTAACTTAGGATGTCCTAGGTCCTGATCAGGGAGGTTTCTGAATTCGTTGATGTAATTTACAACATGTTGTTGGTCGATACTTTGACCATATGAAGAGAAGAAAGCGTTTAATTCATTGAGAGGGACAATTACTCTATGTGGTTCAGACTTCTTCCCAAGCCCGACTTTTTAAATTACACCCTAAAACCCCAGAGGATTGGTTTTTATTTTCAAAAAGCATACAAATGTGTCTTAATTTTGAATTTCTCAAAAGCCGTTTCACTCTATTTCGAAGATAACGATATTGTTCCATTTCTGTTTGGTTTTGAGAACGTTTAGCTTTCCTAAAAATACAATCGGTTTACTGCGGTAAACCGAGGCGAGGGATAAATTTGAGGCGAGGGATAAATTTGTTTGGGTGTGAATTGGTGAGAGAGTTTCCTATTGATGGAATCAATGTCGCAAATGTGTCGTTATTTAAATGTATGTCATCACGACACATTGACCTTCCATAATAGGCATGAAAATATTGCATGTTACTCAATTCGTCGGGGATGTCTATTACCTTGGTGAACTCTGAACGTAAAGTAAGCAAAAATCTGTTTATTTGATGCAGACGGTTGATTGCTGATAATGAATTTCTTACCCTTGGATAATGCGGTAACGTCATAAACACAACTACCATCGTAGAATAATTCCAACGTAATAATCTCCGAAAAGACAAAATGGAGTTCTTAAAAACTGTAATTCCAAAATTTGCTAAAAATTCATTGTTCTCTAAGAATACCCCCGCCGCAGCAAACCTGCCGACTAAGCGAATTTCCTTTTGTCTTAATTGATTTTCAATTAAATATATTTTAATAACATTTGGTTTAACAAGTACCTAGGTTTGCTGCTACAAGGAAACTAATAAAGTGTGTTTTTTTGTAAAATATTGATAGCTTAGTACAAAATAAATAAATTTGATCAAAATACAAAATATATCCTTATACAAGCAAACTACAACATTTGACAATATTCTCCATAAGAATAACATGGGAATTTTAAATTTACAATTTTTTTTGTTTTAATTTTCTCCGTTACTATTAACCAAACAAAAATACTTTTATATACTAAATTAATTGTTTTTTTAAGCTCTTTAAAAAGGTCTAAAGAGAAATTGGGAAATTTTGTGTTTTGAGGGTCAAAAGTGAAAAAAACCAAGTTTTACCCCATAAAACCCCCCGTAAAGCCCCGTTCCCATGGTCCGATCATGCTGGTTCGCGAACTCATTCAAGTTTATCCCGCTTTACACCTTTAAACCAAATTTCATCAAAATCGGACAAAAATTACTCAAGTTATCGGGTTCACGGACGTATATATATATATATATATATATACCCCCGCCGCAGCAAACCTGCAGACTAAGCGAATTTCCATTTGCCTGATTGGATTTACACTAAAATGTCTCCTTAAAAATATCACATTTATTCCCTATTTAAATAGAATGAGTTAAAACACATACTTAGGTTTGCTGCAACAGGGAGGGTAAAAGTGTTTTTTTTATGTAAAATGTTAATAGTTAGTAAGAAATAAAAACATTTTCCAAATTTGGGCAAAATATGTTAATAAACAAGCAAACTACAACAGTTTACTTATTCTCCATAAGAATAACATAGGAATTTTAAATTTACAATTTTTTGGAATTTTCTCCGTAACCATAAGGCGCATTATAACGCTTCAATATACTAAATTATTTGTTTTTTTAAGCTCTACAAAATAGTTTGGAAAGAAATTGCAAAATGTTATGTTTTTTGGGTCAAAAATGGGAAAAACCCATTTTTACCCCATAAATGCCCCCATAAGCCCCCGTTCCCATGGTCCGATCATGCTGGTTCGCGAACTCGTTCGAATAAACGTAGGTTTACACGTTTGTACCAAATTTCATCAAAATCGGATCATTTTTGCTCGAGTTATCGCGCTAACGGACACATATATATATATATATATATGAATTTGAACGGATGGTGTTTTTGGTCTCTAGGGACCTCAAAACGAAAAAAAAAATCGGTCCCGGGTCCAGGTCTCACCATGAGTACTACGGTAATAGCTTATTCCCTATATGGGAAATTCGCTAATATATATATACATATATAAAAATTTAAACGAATGGTGTTTTTGGCCTCTGGGGACATCAAAATGAAAAAGTAAATCGGTCCCGGGCTTAAGTCTTACCATGAGACCTACGGTAATAGCTACTTCCCTATAGGGAAATTCGCTAAAAACAACAGTGGTATGTGTGGTTGTATGGCAGTACTATTTAACTTAACAAAACTCTTGAGTTCGGATATCTTTGCTCCAGAAATGCCCTTGACCAGGATTGGCCATAATATTCCAGTTGAGTGACGATTGGCTTGACAAAAATTGTAAAATCGGGTAGCATAAGAGTCGCCGATTACCTGAACATTTAACGAAGATCCTGCTTGGTTCATAACTAATTTCTTAAATTCACTTTACTAAATTTCAATGCGGTGAAACCAAGAAATGCTCAACCGACCACGAATAGAAGTGAAGATTCGTCGAATTAACAAGGCAATTTGCTTTACAAAAAAAAAAAAACCCCCACTTAACAAAATACAAATTTACATAAACTGGCCCAAGCCTTGCTAAATGTAGGCCTACTCAACATTCAATAAAACCTACTCAAAATGTTGTATTAGACACAGAACAAAAACATTTAATGAAATTTCTAATTGCATTTAAAAATCTAATTTTTTGCTTTGAAGTAAAACGGCATTTGTTGTAGACTTAGTCACAATTTTCCAGCTAAACTGGGTAACAAAATTGTTATGAGTACCTACACACACTAACTCAAATTATTGAATTGCTACCAGAAAACCAGATATTGCTGCTTGTTCCGCTCGCCAATGCTTACTGTAAATGGCGAGGATTCTGACCTCATTCAAGGGTCCACCCAAACAAATACTGAGTTTTTTCAATACGGTATTAGGAACAAATTACATAACAGTTATGGTACCCATAAGCTTCCTGGTAACTTAACCCTCCAAGTGTCCATAGTTTAGGCCTTAATGTCCACCTATTTTTGGCGCATTTGCAAGGTTTTATTAAAACGGATCTGAGAAGCTTAAAACAATGTTAATTCTAATGTTCTATATACCATTTTGTTTGGAAAATCATGGGCTTCAATATTATATATAAAACATAAGGAAAATTTTTTCAAAAAAAAAGTTTTTAGGTAAAAAAAAATATAATTTCGAAAATTTTCAAAAAAAAATAAGTTTGCGCTCAATGAAATTGTATAAATTATAGGCCTATAAATATTTGAAAATAGCCACTTTGTTCTAAATTTTATGAGGATTACAAATATATAATAATATAAGGAAGTAGATTTGCAAATAAATAAGTTATACGCAAAAAACAGATTTCAGTACATAGCGTTTAGCTAAGAATGCATAGCCTAACCATAGCTAGGAATCTGGCTGATAATTTACATCAATATCACTACCTACTTCTTCAGGATCATCAACCAGCACTTCAAAACCACTTAAATATTCTTATAATGCAACACGTATATCACTACTTTTGATTTTTAACACTAAAACAATGATAAACGTAATAAAACACATCAGTCATCGGTCCGAGTAACCTAGCTGTTTACAAATACACGCACGTCAGCTGTCTGCTACAATTACGATCGGCTCAGAGAACGTACAGCGCTGAGACAGACCTCTGGAGAAAGCTTAGAATATTACGGAAAGAACGATACCTAACTCGATCCAGTTCAATCCGATTCAGTCAGTCATAGAGCCTTCGCCGTAAACGATGTCTGCGTGTCGAAAAATCGACAAGTAACACTACACAAAGTGTGCTGCTTGGCGAATTTTCGTCAAGTAACACTGGGAGGGTTAAACTACTATAACAGATCTTAAAAAAACTAGCCTAATAGGTGTTAATGAATTTGTATAACCCAAAAACTGTTTGCAGTAAAAAAATCAAGTAGGCCTAGCCTAGGAATTTTCACCAACAGATTTGTCTCAATGAAAATTTGGATAAAAATGGCTAACTAAAGTTCACTAGGGATGTGCAATAGTGTGACAAAATAAGTAATACTGTAATGATAATTCACAAGACACAATACATTAGACAAGAATAAATAAGACACAGATGACAAATGACAACAGTAAATTACCAAACACAGTAGGCCTGCATAACAGAACACTATGACAAAATTGGTGACAAATAGGCTATTGCAGGACAAATAATTGATCTAATACGACATAGAACATATATCACTGACTCTACACTGATTTACTTACAAGGTGCTGATATTAATTCAAAGTATTCTGGTCCTTAACACATTCGCTGCTGAAACCTTTAAACAGGCGCTCGCCAATGGCGGCGAGGCCCGGGCGGAGCCCCGACGCGCTAACTGAATCAGCGATCGCTATTGGTATTGAAATATCTCAGTAAGACGAATCACAAAAGAGCAGTGGTGATTGTTCTGCGTTACTCCGAAAGTGGACGTAGTTCACTGAAACACCCAAAGGTAGCAGCACTGCCTGGATCAATAACCAGAGTCTTTGTAATACGGCTCGAACTGAGAAAATCCCCGAAAACGGGACAAAAGCATTGCCAAACGGGATTTTACGGGCAATTTTTGTACCAACCTACACCAGAATAAAGCTCACATTATAAGCTACAGGCTGGTAAAGATTACAACGTTCCCCGACAATGGCTGAGCTCACATTGAAACAATAAACATGACATGGCGCGCTCCCCCACCCGTGGACCCCCCGCTCCTCAGCGGAGACGCGCGGGGTCCACCGGTGGACCCGCCGCATCGAATGTGTTAAGCAAACAAAAAACACCTTGTGTTTGACAAAGCGCCGCTTTTTAATTTAACAAAAATTGGGTTGCAGGCCCTTTAACACCCTACCTGGTACCTTACACCCACTAAATATTACAGACCAGCTAATGCCTCCTGTTAGGCTTAATTTAAAATCAAAATTCACAACACTGTTCACTAGGGAGACTGCTGCTAAGGCCTGAAAGGTGGGAAGATCTCCTGTAAAATAAAATCAGAAAACAAACATATACAGTCCTACCTATGTGTCACACTAATGTTGGATGGCCACCCTAGCCTACCCAATTTACAATTCCCTACCAATTTACTAATTTTCAAACAATTTAGCTACCAGCCAACCTATCCGGTGTCGGTTAAGTCAGGAAAAATGCTTTTACCTTTTTGGCAGAAAAAATATATCCAGAATGTTCACTTAAAAAAAAAAAAAACATTTCCTAAAACTGAAACTGAATTTGACTAGGTTAAGTACCCTGATCTAGGCTTCCGTCTGCTACCATATGTAGCCGGGGGGCATTGAATAATGAAGAAGTTATGGGGGGGTTAGGTTAATGATGATGATGGAGCGTTGGTTATTGGTGGGAATTCGGGGAATCAGAAGGGAATAAACAGGGTAATGCTAATAGGTTAGGAATAGCTGTGTCTGGACCAAACTTAGTTTAAGCGTGCTAAATCTGCTACCAATAAAATTAGGAAGATTGCTGGGGAGCAGAGGGACGGAGATTTTTACCCAGATCAGAACACCTGCCTAGCCAGCTTTGATTTACACTAATTTAACTAACTATTTAATTGTAGTCCTATCCTTCCAACTATGAAGTGGACATGGATAATTACTTACTAATATTGATGAGTGAATGAAATAGTATGTATATTGAATGCTGAATGAAAAATATATCTATGAATTTGACTGATAAATGCTAAGCTAAATTCTGGGAACGGGAACATGTGGTTGAGTTTTCAGGTTTGAGAAGGTTGGCTGCATTCTCAATATCCAAAAAAATTCCTGCTCTAGGTGGGTGGTAACACACACCCAATAACAGGTCGTCAGCCCCAGCTAGACCAATTTCTATAATAAGGTATTCTGGTTTTGCCGAGTACTCAGTGAGGAGTTAATACATGTAACTTTAAAATTGATTCCCTCCCTGATATAAACTGCAATGCCTCCACCCTGTTTGCCGGTTTTATCATTACGCTGCAGAATATAGCCAGGGAGGTTCTACTCATGAGATGAAATACTATGCTTCAACCAAGATTCCGAAGCAGCTATCAAATCAAAATCCCTGTATTTGAATATCTCCCATTATCTACCATATTTGATCTATCTATCACTGTATGATTCAATTTTAACGACCATAACATACTAAGTTAAATCAAAACCGGCTTTTAACTAAAATCCTATTTTTTTATATTTTATGGGGGTTTTGATGGGAAAATAACATAATTTACAATAACTTTTTAACCATATTTTTTACAGAAATGGGAGTTGTACCATTTTGTTCAGAATTGAAAGGGCTACAACATACTAAATTTTTAGATTACCATGGATTAGAACCTACACGCCAAATTTCATCGTAATGACCTTCAAAACATCGAATTTTCCAATTTCTCTAAAACCATTTTGTAGAGCTAAATTATTTTGTACTTGGAAGTGTTTGTGTATGGCTATTGGTTTAGGATAAAATTCAAAGAATTTTACATTTAGAATTACCAATTTCCATGTTATCCTTGTAGAGAATAAGTAAACCATTGTAGTTTCCTTGTATATGGATTTACAGTATTTTTTATAAAACTTGACAAGTTTATTTATTTTATATTAAAAATTAACATTTTACTAAAAACAATAAAGATTGAAACTTAATACTCGATATATGAAATTACTAAGGAAGTGCAGCACTCACTTGTGACATCCACCTATGAGCCTGAATCTGCCTGATGGACAGTCTCTTGTCAGGATCCACCAACAGCATGTGCCTTATGAGATGTTCACAATCTGCCACATAAAGTATTGTTAAATGTATAAAAATACAACATACGAGGGGGTACTAAAAAAATAACCACAATAACGTTGCCATGGGCAGATCTTACATAATACGTGTTTCGGCTGCTAGGCGTTTTGAAAAGCAACCCTCACATTTCTTGCATGCTGTTCTAAATTTTTTTTTATTATTTTTTTTTAATAATGGTTTGTTCAAACTTCTAATATATCGGAAGTTTGTCTTTTTAACAAAAAATACCAAGTTAGTTGGTTTCCTAAGGGTAAATCATAGTGATGTACTTTAAAATACAAAAACTGAAATTAATCAAAAATAACTATTTAGGTACTGGTTCAGGGTGGCTAGTGAAATCACATTGAAAAATTCCCTGACTTTTCCCTGACAATTCCATGATTTTTTAAACTTTCCCTGATCGACAAATTAAAAATTACAATTTTTATACTAACTAATTCTTCAAAAGGACTAATCTTTATCTGAAGAATATATTATGTTTGTTTATATGAAAAACATACATAAAATGTATAGATACAGGCTAGCTTATATTCAAACTTTGCAACTTACCTTAATAAAATTTAACTGAGTTTGATAAGATATCACAAAATTTAATTTGTACAAAAACACAAAATTTATTTGTACAGACACATTTCTAAGTTTTCACCCACACGGCACACGTACTCTCACCAGATCGACCTTATTATTAAAATTATTTTAAACCTTTTACAATTTTCCCTGACTTCTGACAAAATTCCCTGACTTTTCCATGACTTTTCCAGATATTTAATATTCCCTGACATTTCCAGGTTTTCCAGGTCACTAGCCACCCTGTGGTTATGAGTCATGGTGCTATGGTTACGACAACCCAGAAACAAAGCAACAGTCAAGTCAATGGAAGACGCCATTGTCACCTTCAGGTAAAATTAAATATCAAGACAATAATTGTTTCTTTCAATGCCAAAGACATTGTTCACTCACAGTTTGTTTCCCCAGATAAAGCTATGGTTCCACAGACTGCGGAACTTCCGCCGTGCGGTGCAAAAATTTTCGTTGCGGAAATTACGCCGCTTAAAATCCGGAGGGATGCCTCTGAATGCAGAAATAACATTGCAAAAATTTAGTTCTGTCCAAACTAGCGACGAGTATGGATAGAAAGAGGAAAGCCCTCGTGGATTTGATACTTTATGATTTGATGATGATGTTGTCGATCTTTTTATCTTTATTGGTGTCAAATCAGATTGAGATTACCTGTTTTCCCAAGTTTTTCTCCAATTATACCCCAAATTACGTATTTTTTCGTTGTTTTTGTACTCTGAGTCACTCAACTTCCAGGGTCACTCAACTTCCACAGCACATCATGTTGAGACACCAACTCGACAAGTTCCTCCTCTTTGGTCCATGAAAAACGTTCATCTACACCTCTTTAAAAAGCACATAATAAAATTGCAATAACTGGACGGTCACAATAATAGTTGGCTCCTCTACGCTGGCAGATTCCGCACTGCCACTACTCTGAGACCAGTATGATTTGTCTGCCATGCGGAACTGTAAATTCCAGACGCATGGCTCCTCTACGCTGGCAGATTCCGCACTGCCACTACTCTGAGACCAGTATGATTTGTCTGCCATGCGGGAAACTCCATTAAACCAGTGTCGTGATTTCGCAGCAGAAAATTTTGCACCGCACGGCGGAAATTCCCCAGTCTGTGGAACCATAGCTTAAGACCTTGAATACTATAGCTACTACTATAGCTACTTATAAGAGGATTGCACAGTGTTCGACAAAAAATACCCACTCTGTTGCAGACAGGAGACTGGATCTTTCACCATGATGGTTGAAATATCCCATAGATGGTTGTGTTATCACACTCATCTTATTTACCTGACCTGTCTCCGTGTGCCTTTTTTATGCTTTCATGCATAAAAAAGGAATGAAAACGAAAAGACAACGATTTGACACCTTTGAAGATTGTTTGATAAAATAATTATTATTCACAATGAGTAAACTTTATTAGATAAAATATATACAAAACCCGAAATAAAAAAAACAAAATTAATATTCACAATGAGATTGAGTAAGTAAACTTTTTTAAATAAAAAATAGTACCTGGGGACCGAGCCAAGGCTCGGTGTAGTTTATTTTGATTGTAAAAGCAATATAAAGGAATCTCACGTTTTATTTACAACTATTTTTGGCTTTTTAAGTTTTTAGTGGATTTCAATTTATTATGATGAAAATTTTAACCTGGCAATCCTCAAGACATTCATATATTTTACAGTCGATGAAATGTTGCTTGTTTATAATGTTCTATAATTGGATAAACACTGTTTTGACATTTTGTTTAAATTAAAACAGCTGATAACATTGGGGATTAAGTTTTGGTAGGAGAGAGAAAAGTTAAATAATCAGTGTTTGATCGGAACTTGGATCTATTTCCACCTATATCGAGTTATCTTCTGTGAAATCTTTGCTCAATAGTAACAACTGATGTTTTTCCTTTTGTACTGTACTAGTATGCTGTGGGTGGAGGTGGATGGCGTATTATAAACACATGTTGCAGCTTACAAGTCTTTTGTTTACTTTTCATAGTTATTTTGCTCAACCAACATGGTTCATTAGCAACCCGTAAGAACAATATTCAAGTTTTTACTTTAAATTTCATTTTTTACTTAACTAGCAGTTACCCGGCGTGTGTAGCTGCGCTTAACAACTATTATTTTTATGATAATTTGTTCTTTACAATAAATAATAAAAGTGTATACCAAAAATAAAAATAGAATATTTTAGTTAATTGCCAGTGGATAAACAATGTTTTTTGTTTTTTCATTAGGTGTATAAATATATAAGTTTTTAGGCGTACCTACCACCATGTGAGCACGCAACATACAGCTGTACGTGTGAAAAGCATACATTTTATAAATTTAAACCGACAGTAGTCAGGGATTGCCCTAGTGCCTTATAATAGTGATTGCGTAAGCAAGACACAGAGGAAATTGTAGTTGCTTAAATTCAGAGGGTAATAAAAACTAGATATCCAAAGTTTGCCAGAAAGAGCAGTGGAATGTTGTAAAAAAGTATTAGTTCCAGATGGGTTAAATTTTAATTTCAGAGAATTAAAAATTAAGGAAATTATATAAGTCATACAGAATTTGCCAAATAAAAAGTCTACTGGATGGGACGAAATACCCATAAGCTTAGTAAAAGAATGTAAAGATTATATTGCTACGCCAATCTGTAAAATAGTTAATCAATCTCTATCCACAGGGGAATTTCCAACAAAGCTTAAGATTTCTATAGTAAGACCAATTTTTAAAAAAGTAGGGGTCTGCTGTGTACCGAAAAACACGGTACGGTAGGTACAAGCATTTTACGCGGTTTCGATACAACCTATTATAATAATAAACTACTTTCAGTTTACTATCGTAGTCAACGGCAGTTGGTTCCGAGCACATAAAAGGCTTATCAGATGTTTGTTTACTCTTCATAATTTATTACTAGGGTAGTGATGCAATAAAAAAGGCATTAGCAGTCCTAAATCCATTAATATTTTATCACGACAATAATTGTTGTACTCAAGTACTTCCAAGAACTCTGAGTTTTATCACTTCAATCCTTTATGACATTCATTTATAATTATTATTTTACAATAATTATTTTGATATCCCAATTCTATTTTATCATAAAAATAATAGTTTGTATAATAGCTGTTAAATTCAATATCTAACTCTAGCCAGTTTTTTTTTTTATTTTACAACAGTAAAATTACTTTTTTCTAAAAAAATATTTACAAGACAGTAAGACACAAACTACCATGAATTACTTTCTTTGAAAATAATCTGTAACATTATTATCTATAACATTTATCTATAGGCTAACAGTTATGTTTTTGAATAAAGAAATATATATTTTTGTCCACTACTTCCTTGTTTCGTTACACAATTTTGTTAGCAATTGGAGCAAACGAGTGGTGCAAGAGGGGAGGGGGAGGATCTATGACCTTGAGTGCCCCAAGGGCCTGGATGACGAGAGTGATTTATGGTTTGTTTACATCCTGCTACCCTTCCTTCCAAGAAAAATACCCTTACAGTTTCAAAAATATTGACTTACAGTTTAAAAACATTGATTTGTGTTGCTAATTAGGGCACTAGTGTCTCTGCATTATGTTGCCAAGATGGCATTTAATTTTCTTTTCTATTGATTTAATATAATCGTCTATATATTAATTAGTTAGGAGTTCCTTTAAGGGTACCTAATTAATTGTGATATAAACAATATCTTAACTTGAGTTTATGGATTTTTAGTTCTTTTAATTTATTAGTTATCAAAATCTGTTGTTTTTAGATTTCAATCTTTTGCTGTGCTGTAGGCCTATCTATGCTACTGCATGACATGATATGCAATTTTTACAGTCCTTACTAATTATACCGTAGACAATGTATGTGTCAAATACTATTTGAGAATTTTATAGTAAATCAGTTTACACAACATCTTTTCTTCAATGAGTTCTTGACTTGTCATGTTGCTTAGCCTATTGCTATTTTAGGCCCTATAAAAATAATTCTTATGTAAAGCTTACTAATGCCAATAATAGATTTATGTATTTATGATGCTGTAACTAATAATGCTATTGCAAGTGTGAGGTTTTGTACTTAGGAGGTTAGGAGGGAGGGAATGAATGATGGGCCTACATATTAACATATTGCATTGTAAAAACATAGAATTTTTATTTTCTTCTTTCTTGCAGTTGTCAAGCCAGTCAACAGGCCCTAAAATTGTGATATGTATGTTAATTGATTTGTTTATAATCTTTTATATTAAGTTCCAATCAAAAATTGTTGTAATTTAGCTATTTATAATCATTTCAATAGTTATAAAAATGGGAATGTCTTGATAAAAAAACAATTGTATTTTCTTCTTTCTTGCAGTTGAGGCAATTCCCACGCTGTAAATAAGATATAAAAATGAAATAATATACATAAATATAGTTTATTTTTTCATATT